AAACTCTTCGTGAGCCTAGTGTGCAGGTAAAAATACTAAACTAGTCAGTTAAACATGCACTAAGAAATTAAAGCTAAATCCATAAACTGAACGAGAACTTATACGGAAAAAAAAATCAGTATATCTTGTAAAACTAGAAATAATTTTCAATAAAATTCTTTTTCTGATCAGTCAGCTATTAAAAAGGTTCAAATAAACTCAGTATACCTAATTCATAATACATTTTGCACAAACAACTAGTAAGAAACACAGTAGCAAGTACAACAGAAAATGGTTTGAGTTCTTTTAACTTTACTTACATGAGACAGTCTGATATGGCCGTGGTTCGGCAGACTGATTTTATAGATATTGGGTGATGTGACTGAAGGTGAAATGAAAGAAACCTGGATCATGGTAGGATTTGAACTAGCGGACATAGCATATAAATGACATAGAAATAGATATTACTGGAACAGACGTATTAGTTCTTCACTTATTCTGAACAAAGTTATTTCCCATGTATTTGTTTTAATGCTTAACTTGTCCTGTTCATTTTCCTTTGTTAAGTTGCTTCAAAGTATAGCAACTTAAACTGGTGCACCACAGTTATCGCTTCTACACTGTCCCGTTGTTCAGTCAAACTAATGGACAACATTAAAAATTGTGTATTGATTTCTCGATCAAACTGATGCGTTTTATACAGGATAAGAATTTATCGGTCATATATCATACTCAATTAAACTAGCATTAATCATTAATGTGTACGACAAAGTAACTAAAACCTTTGGGGAATTAATTGGAAGGTAGTTAGTGGTATTTTTATTAGCTGAAAAGTAATGCTGTATCACTACTACACCCTTAAAATGTTGAGATACCTATCAGTAATACTTATGCTACACAGAACCCAAAGCTAATTAAAACGACGGTCAGGACAATAAAAGAATAATATTTATTTAGAAAGTGAAAAATATAGTAGCAACAGAGTAACTATGCTGAGGTTTATTTCCTTCAATATAAGTCACACTTAAAGAATATTAATAAAAATCCAAAGGCAAGAAAAAAGAAAGGAAGGACTAGCCAGCAAACACTACTAAAAAATTACTGTATAAAAGTGGTAACGTGCTCATCGTGAAACCTGAAGGCACTGGGTTTTGCCCCTGGCGAGATCATGAGGGCCCATTAGTCCCAGTCGTCCAGTGCTCTCAGGTTTTCAGTGGTTCTCCAACTGATGTCAGTTCATAATGAATACTACCCTGGAATCAATAATCTCCATGAACCTCCAAATTGAATTACATTCAAACAAACAGTTTGACGAATCATGTTATGTGTACATAAGGTGAATATTCAGCTATCAAAAACGAAAAAAGCTTTGGACAATTGCCTTAAGTTTGAGACTTACTTCTCTTCAATATAAACTATATAGAGGATATAGTAAGGCATGTTCAAGTCTAGCGATGAACATACAATTATTAAGTCAGTGTATAAATCCAACAGTGTACATCTTTATACTTGAAGTAGTTTGTGATACGGTAGGACAGTCATTCAATGTGGCTGATGAGTATTCATCAGTACTCTGAACTTTGTCGGTCTACTAGGTTATGAATGTGAATACATTTATTCCAATATCTTTACTTGATATTGTGAAGTAGTATTGCAGTGACCGCTGCTGATCAGAATGGATACAAGTAGTATATGTTGAGAGGGTGGCAGAAATCATAGGCAATTACCAGCAATGGATAGAGATTCTGCCCAGAGAAACGCAAGAGACAATGTGGGTGTATAAGGAGGAAATCAAGATAGAAGCGAATGAGTGAATGAAGCATATTATGCAAATGACTGTCTTGGTGCAAGGTGTACCATAATTTGAATACTACTGTACAAGATGTCAATAATAAACATTCCTTCCTTCATCTTCGTCCTGTCATTTTCTGCAATATCAATTATTCAAGAAACTGTATGGCTGATAAGGTTGGTTTGAACACATTAAAAGACTATGTCAGATGGTAGACTTGAGTGCGTAGGGAGTGACAAGAGTATTGCACTTATTATACATGTATTCGACAAAAGGAATTGACTGTTATTGTTAGATCGACTATTTTAAAGATGTATTTTACCAAGAAAATTAAAAAGCCAGTTACAGTGCAAATAGTAATACTGCTATTACTACTTACACTATACTACATTGAACCAAACATTATATTATCATTCCGATTCATCCACATAAACAGTTGTTAGTAATGCAAAATGTTCAATGCCAAATAAATTAACGTATACATATATGCAGCTGGCTGTGCAAATTATTGAAAAAAATATTTCCCTAAACCATACACAGATTCATGAACTTCTCTTATCAATAAAATTAATATGAGAAAACTAGGAATATATATATATATATATATATATATATATATATATATATATATATATATATATATAAAATATTAAAAAGTACTGCAAAATTTGCACTTTGAATTGTTTATACTTTACAAACTATGGAAATGTGATTGGACTGGATAGATATGAATTTTTAATGTCAAGCACAATTTTTAGTAAGGCTTAAAATGTAGAGAGTAGTAAGAGAATTGGTGTTGGTGTATACACCTTACGAAAGAAGACGGATGAATTCTACAATTATAGCCACCAAACTAAAGTCAATGAGTAAATCCGCATAAACCTCCAAATTGAAATACGGCTACGTTGTGGATTTTACGGCTGAGTATAGGTTATATCTTTCTAGAGAAAATTTGCACTTAAAAATCTCTGAACTAACAAAAGATGGCAAATGTAATTTTAATTACCAAGTCAACCAAGAGAAGTAGTATAAAATAATTTTTTAAGTGAACTTTAGAAAGTATTTAACGTAACACTTAATTATTTGTGACTACATTTTAGAAAACTGCTTTAAGAAGTGATTGATGGGATGCCAAGGTGATTAGTGCGGACGTGGATAAGTGATTCAGTAACCAAGATTATCCTCATGTATCTCAGACTGAGTCGTAATATTTGTGAAAGGATGAATGGACAAGGTTTGCACCCAAGGTGGGGGGTTGACAGTCGAGTGTAGAACTGTTGCATATACATGATACTTGGGTTGAATGTTATTAAAACGACGTTACGGTATTACTAGGCAGATAAAGACTGTTGTTTATACTTATATTGCACCATCGTCTAATCGGAACAACAATAGAAGAGAAGATAAATGAGGACTTTCTCAGTATTTGCATATTTACAGTACTTTTGACTTTGAAGGTCACTTACAAGTTTTTGCAGCGCCTGATAGTTTTAAGTAAAGGTGGATGTGGTCACATCACTTCAACAAGACAGACAGGTAGTTTTGGCTATGCTATCACGTTAGACGCAGTTTAAACAGCGGTTGATATTGACTGTATCTCATTAACGATGGAATTACTGTAGCTTATGGACTTGGTGCAACAACAAACTCCAATGCAAATCTAAACAAGATTTTTCTACTTAAATGATGATGGAATTTCTGTTCTCATAGGCCTATGCATATCTTCATCAGGTAAGAGTCTATCCAGCTGAACATTAACATATATGCAATCACCAGCTCCTTACAGTTACGTGTTTCTGTCCACATCGGAGTAGTAAGAAAAGAGTATTTCAATGAGCAACAATTAATCTACGTAAAATTAATATCTAAGAAATAAAGACAAAACTGTCTAACTTAGATACCTGTAACACCAACAGTAACAATGCATATGCTATTAGCCCAGCTGATTTACGAATTTACGTACGGAGAACAGTGACGGAAAGGGGTTAAGGCAGACAAGATACTAAGAGGACTTTCGTTGAATGGAGGCAATCGGCGGAAGGTTCCGGACCTAGGTTTCTTGCTTCTTGGTACTCGTCAGCAAGGCGTATTTGTAACCTCTACGGAACTGATATTCCACCTGGAATTCGAACCCACGTCATCCAGTGCTGCAGTCAGAGACGCCGCCAGTGACCTATCCGGGTCACGATTAACCTTCTGTAGGACTGGGCGACATACATTAATTGGTAACAGGAGGGTGACCAATTTCACGTTGCCTATTTTTGAATGCTGACCGAATTCTGTCGGTTATTTTTCCAACACAGACTTAGTGTTTAATTCCAGTGTCTTTTGAATGAAAAATGTATCAATGACTTGTAAGTTGATTGCTTGGTTAAATTTAAGGAATTTTCACCAAGAAATTCAATTTAGAATCATAGTAGTTGAGCCATTTTTGTGAAACAAGCATCATTAAAAAGTATTTGTTGCTTTATAGTTTAGTATTGAAAATTTTCTGTCCCCTATGAACTGTTTCAGGATTTCAGACAAACAAAAACAAATTTTTAGTTTTTGTAGCATTTACTTTCTAATCAAGCCACCAGGATGATAATGATCGAAGATACTGGACAATAATTTCAATAAACCGTGAATAAATTGAATTTGCAATGATAGATTAAAAATGGTTTGGATGCAATCTCAACATGTATGGAGCAGATTATCATGAAATTAAAACAATACAGTTTTCTGGCCTTCTTTAGTTCTTAACTCATGTCACTTGGTGGTTAATACTAATTTACCTACATTGTATAGCATAACATAAACGATGTAAACAAAGGTGTACCACAAATCCTGTAGATTCCACTTGCAAGTGGATTGTTTATTAATTTTTTGTTTTGTATTTTGCAAAAAAGTCACTATATACAAAATCATGTATAAGACAGAAGTAGAAAAAACAGTATGAGATATTAATCAAACAAGTTGCTAGTCATAGAGAACAAACAACACCATCTCCATGTCGAAATAATCAATCAAGTCTAAACAGCCCGCATATCTTGGTATAAAAACAATTAAACATTAATGCAGCTATGTTTATTCATTTCCTGTTCATTCTTAGACAGATAGAGATCAATAAAAGGAAAGAAAAAAAGGGTAGAAAAGAATTGTATACTTATGCAGGCACACTGGTACATAGAGGCATAAACACACACAAACTGACATCACTTTATACGAAATTATTCCGAAAAACACTCACTTTACTTGTTACACAGTCTCGCAGTAGAAGTGCCTTTACACCATAGATCGTCTGATGACGATGGTAATCGATAAGCGCATTGATTGAGTTGAATTTATTTGTCCAGATGTAATATTTACCGTTCGGATCGTAAAATATACGAAAATGCAATACTGATGAACCTTCTCTGCAGAGTAAATAGATAACATAAGAAAGGAATGCAATGATTATAGTGAAGAAATATCATGAAACAGATCAGTATATGCAGAGAAAATGTGAAGGGCGTTCCGCTCTAAATAAGGGAAGATTGCGTTTGTTGGGGATCTGACGGCTGATGAAGACTAGACTATGAAACTTGCATGATGGTTCGGTCCAATATAACGACCAATGGGTAGTTTATACGATGATTTAAAGGAAATCTCCATCTCTTCATTTGGCTTAACAGGAATTGGACTTATCAGAGAAAACTCATCAGTAGACTTAAAGTACGTGGTCCTGTTAGGTGAAGACCCTGACAACATGTACAGTCTTCCGGATACATTGAGTGCCAATTTGAGAATGGGATGTTTCTCGCCACCCAAACGCAAATCGTCGCTCTAGAACTGGTTTCCAACGGTCCCCTGTCCAACAGTTGGAAGTCAATTAGGTGAGTGTGTTGAATACTTCACTTACCTGGGAAATCGGACCACCTCTGGTGGGTTAGTGGACGAAGAAATCTCTACAGATACAAGAGGCTTGTTTGGTCTTCGCTAACTTATCTTCTGTGACGTCCTGGCAACATTTGATTGTCAATTAAGGGTCGAGTGTACTGTGCTGCAGCTCGCTCTGTTCTAAGGTACGGTTGTGAAACCTGGGCAGTAAAGGTAGAGGATATGGGAAGGCTTCTGGTGTTCGACTACCGTTGCCTTCGCAGCACAGGCCAGTTGTCGCGATGTCACCGCATCAGTAGTGTAGGTGTCAGGTGTACAGTCCTAGGGCGGATGAGAAAAGTCAGTTGATGATGCTGTAAACTTTCACCTACCAGGTCGCTGCGACGTGTGTCATGCTCGTCTGATCACCGTTATCTCTGTCGCGCAATGTTATATGATGTAGTTTCGAGTTTGATAAAGATTGGAAGCGGCCAGACTAAAATACGGCATCAGTATACGAAGTATTTGAGTGTTGGTCTGAGTTATGTGGGGAGATGCAGACTAGTCGGTTGGGGTCCATGCGACAACAGAAACCAGTGATCAGAGAGTCTGGGTAACATATGGCTCAGAATCGATCTGTGGTTAAGATGTATCCATATATTATCTTCATCTTGATCGTAAACTGAATTAGAGTATTTTTTCACACCTCCTTTCTCTCTTTTTACTACTTTCTGCCACATTTGACTGCTTTCATCTTGGTGCATTTTTATTTGTTGTACTGATATGAAGTGTGACAACTTGTACCATTACTCGGTAATGCCAGGTCCTATCAGTCTGTTTGTCTATCAATGGTAGGTGATCTGAAAAAGAAGTGGCACTAATCTACACAATCACTGACTGCGAGGATCCATAGTAATGAGAAGTGGTCTTCTACTCAGCGTTCACGAATTCCAAGAAAGTAACCGTTGAAGACCACAAGTTCAAAATTAATCACAAAGTTGCGAATGTTTCTCCTGCTTAACTATTCAAATTTTCTGTAAGCCATTCAATATCTATATATTCTTTCTGATATCAATAAATTAATTTTTTTAATTCTCTATACGTGCTTGCCAACTAAGTTTATCCTCAGCACTTTGATTGTTCATAAAACACTTTTATCACCTGCCTGATTCTAGTCGACTTGGAAGGAGGTGGAAAGATCTTAACAAGCAACTAACGCCACTTATTTGCAAACAGGCAGTGGACAGGTTGACATATCAGGTGGTTGTGGTGGAACTTGAGCCTCGTTGACAGCCTGATCTCATAGTTGAAAAAGGAATAAATTGAACCACTAACGCAGATATTACGCTTCATGATTCTGTTGTCACTTAGGGTTTTTAGTTCTGACGACCTAAATATCTTAATGGTAAGGTTGCTTAACACCTGCAAGGGATGTGAGACCCAGATTCAGAAATTATTGTAGATTGCTTTGAGCATCCGAAATCAAATACAATGTTCACATTTTACGTGCGCCATAGATAAAGTCAACTTTTTTCTATGCTATTGTGAGATAAGAGACAGGTAGCTATTATCAATTTAGGATGAGTTTGTAATTCCACACCTCAATTCACAGTAGTAGAGGGAAATCGGAGGAAGGAAAAAGAATTGAAAACAATGATGTCAGAATGCTTATAACAAATAAAGTTGGCAGAGGAGATGAAATAACAACGAGAATTTGGGCAAAAAAACAATGAATGTTTTGTATTTATTATAAAATCAGACGGAATGCATCTCAGCCACTGAGACTGACTTGATACCACTGGACTTAAAATCCACAGCCATAAATTTCAGTTGCATTGAGAAGATCGGTCAGGAATTTCATACATGCCTGACAGTTAGACTTCAAGAATTGGTACCACGTTTCAGTTAGGTATTTCTGGCCTTGGATTTACCAAATCTAGTGATAAGTTAACGTATATGGGGGTTATGCATGCGCGAACCCACTCAAGCAAACTAAGCAAGCGACATATATTTTGTCACTGAAACTCTACAATAATTCCTTCATTGCTCCTGCGATACTTCCATAGAACTTTTGTGTTGCTATCAAGATTTCGCATACAAGCAGACTTTCATGATCTGTCCAACTTCCGAAGTGAAGCGATTAACGCGGCCAATTAATTCATCTACCCATCTTCAAACAGGGCGCCAACACAGATCAGTATTATAGAAAAGACGTG